CAATGCATGTGTGGCTCTTCCTATGATGTCGATCACGCCATGGTGATGCAAGAAAGGGGGCTTCATATGCATGAGGTATGACAAAGTAAGGGACCTCACAGCAAATATATTGAAGGAAATCTGCCGGTATGTCATGGTAGAACCGACCCTCCTTCCTTTGGATGGTGAGATCTTCCAACATACGACTTCAAATACATCTAACGAAGCTCGTGTTGACGTCAGTACTCAAGGATTCTGGAAGGGAGGACAGCGAGCTTTGTTCGACATCAGGATTTTTTATCCCGTGGCCACATGTCACCGTAACCTAGCTCTCGATGCTGCACACAGGAGGAACGACAACGACAAGATAAGGGCATATGGGGAGAGAATTAAAAAAGTTGATGAAGGCAGCTTCACTCTTCTAGTGTTCACAACCTCTGGTGGGATGGGACCAAGTGCAAGATGTTTCTACGCCATACTCTCGGAGGTGATCTACGAACAGAAGCAGCAGCCGAGAAGTTATGTTACAGCTTGGATGAGATGTCGACTGTCTTTCTCTCTCCTTCGGTCGGCTTTGCTCTGCCTCAGGGGAACGAGAGCTTCTGCCCCAATGCCGACAACTGCTGCTGATATTGACTATGAGGCTACAGTCACTGAATGTCCCATATATCTGTGGCTGAACTAATTCAACACAGATAGGACAGCTACTTATATATTAGGATATTTAATATTAAGGTAATAAAATGGTGGGGAAGGTGTGGCTATTGCGGGAGGTAGGAGGCCACGAAAAAAAAAAGTTATAGTAGTAGTATTAGTAGTAGTACACAGGAACATTATAATAAAAAGTCGCCATGGTGTACCATGGCGACCATGCCAAGTGTACGACATCTCCCCTACAGACACTCTGTGGCCGCTGTTGCCCTGCTGGTGAAGTGTGTAGTATACCTAACCTAACACAGAGTGAGAGTGTTCTGGGCGAACACCTTTCCTCTGAGCTAATTCGACACAGGTGCCAATTTGCTACAGAGTCCTTCCTGCAGTTTCCCATTTCCTTTCATATTTTTCCTGTCCTCAATCAACCTGTCTGTTATATGCCTCGTTGAGCCTAACTCTTTCCTTTACGATATTAGGGTGTGTCATAAGGAGGCGAAATTTTTTTTTTGGAGTTTGAAAAATCGGCCCATGGTAAAGTAAATGTATCAGGTTAATTTATTAGGATGAAAATGATCCAGAATAGTGAAACGAATGATCTTGACACATTTATTAAATTTAATATTCCTTTAGAAAACAAAATCATCAAATACAAAAACCGGTTTTACTACTACGACCCGGTGTTGCTGCACACCATAGAGAACATGTCTTTCTTGCTTCTGTTTCTACTCATCACCTCCCTGCTGACCACCTGAGCTCGGATGTAGCCTTCCCTCCTCTCCTGGCTTTACACGTGACTGCTGGCCTCGCTCACTTGCTGTACACAACGCTCTGTACTCTGGGTGTGCGAGGGCCAGGCAGGGACATGCATGGGGTTGTCCAGGAAAGCTCTGACTTGAACATTGGTGAGGCTGCAGGTAAGAGGGGGCTCACTGCCAGCCTGGATGTTATCCAGATCTATGAGATCAGTGAGGGTCTTGGCACCTAGATTGACTTCAGGAGTCTTCCTGACCCTGAAGGAATCGTCACCAACTGATTCGTCATGCCCAGATCCTCTCATAAGTCTCATATCCAAGATCTTTTTGACTGCCACTCTTCTCTCCTCCTCATCCTTACTGCAGAGCATTGTCTGCAGAACTGCCTCGAGATGAGCATACCAGGAAGATCTCCTCACAGTCTGCTCCACAATCTGAACAACCTTCCTTGGCTGACTCCTCAGGAGCTCAAGCTGGAAGAGAACATGCCTCGGACCTTCGGAGAACGATGACTTGACCTTGGTGTTGAACCAATTTGGCAAGTAGACACTCACGATGAATTGGACAATAAGTCTCAGGTTGTGAAGCTGGTTCCCTTTCAGTTTATGATGAGCGACCCAAATTCTGCAGAACCTGAGAGCCGTTGTGAGCCACCTAGAATGTGAGACTGGACCTATCTGCAGGTAAGCAAGTCTATCAGGCATGACCCCAGTTTTGATGGCACTGCAAATCATGTAACCATAGTACTGGTCAGTACTCAGGTCGTCAATGACAGTATGTGCAAGCTCAATGAGTGGAGGGCCAACTGTGATTTTTTCAAAGCTCAAATTTATTTCTAACTCAGTGGCAGAGTCCAGCATCTTGCCAAGAGGACCAGACCATCTGTTGTTTGAAAGAGTCTTGCCATCCAGCTCCTGGATCAGATGTCTGAGTGGCAACTCGTTGGTGTGGAGGTCACAAACAATCCAGACCAGCTTCCTCCCAATCTTCCTCTCTATCCACTGTATGACCCCCCCCTTGCCACCCTGTGTTCGTGTTGGTGCTGTCCCCTCCAATGGCCTGCAGGGTCTGGTCTACGTTCCTCTCTCTGAGCCAGTTCACAATGTTATCTGCCACTATCTCAGCTGGTTTCCTGATGTCATCTTTCTCTGGAGTGAAATGCCACAAATACTTCCCTCCTGGTTCACTGCAGCAGGAGTAGTGTTCCTCCTTCACCATGGCGGGAACAACTTGTCAGAATCTCCAACTTTCATGAACACTTTAGTGTCATCCCTTCTCCCATCAAAGAACAAACAATTGATTCCATTTTCTCTTATCCCCTTATCAAACTCCTCTTCTAGGTTACTGACAAGTTTCTCCTGAGCTCTCCTTACTTTGTTATGATCTATCACCAGGTGAACATCATCAGGTGTTATCAAACCACCGTCAATCCAGGCAGCTGTTGCTATCTCTGCAGTTTCTCTGAGACCAGTGTGGTGTCGCATGCTGGCCAGAGCTATGCTCGGGATATCTTTCCTATTTCGAATCTTATGCCTGGAAGGTTTGGGATCATTATTTTCTGGGTTAGGGACAAAGTCACCATTCTCCTGGTCAGCACTCGGATCAGCCATGGGGAAGTCATTAAACTCTGAATCAGCTTGACTCCAATCATCGGCCTTTTTACCTCACCCTGGGCCTTCTCAAGTCTCTTTTCCTCGGCAACTCTTCTCCTCTTCTGTCTCTCTGTGGCAGCCTCCTGTCTCTTGGACTCCGGAATATCTTGGCTAGAAATCATGAGAGCCCCTATACTGCCAGTCTTCTCTCTCTCTGCTTTGGCAAATGCCAGTTCGATCACAGGAATCTTCAGTTCACGCTTGCAAATACAGGAGATGTGGGCCTCCAGTTTACAGTCACGATCGCATCCAAACTCAGGACAGAGAACAATTGGGCACTTGCAAGTAATTATGTCAAATAACTGGTCCAGTTGCTTGCAAAGCTGTCCTTAACTGCAAGTTTTCCTCTCCCAAGAGAGATATCTTTGCCTTTTCCCAACTGGCTAGCAGTCTCTCACTAATCTTCTTCTGACTTGTTATGACTGGAGGCTTGAACTGAGCGTTAGCCAGAGTGTACTGTGTCAAGACAGCTTTGGTCATATCACTGGCAATGTCTTTGTTTGTGTAAGTTCTTTGGTTCTTTTCACTGATTTGCCTGATTAAAACACCGTATCTCAAAGCATCTCTCAATGTAGGCAACTCCGACTTCAGGAGCTCTCTCCCAGACCCAAGATAGTGACTGAGATGGCTGGATTTTTGGTTCCTCGTCCTGACACAAGCAGCCATCGCAAATATTATCAACTTATAAATGCATCAGAATCTGAAACAGAAAAAAAATATTGTTAGTTGGGTTGTTAAAGAATGAAGTCAGAAAGCAATGTTCACTATTTAATTGTAATGCACTAATGCAGCTGTACGTTAGATTTTCGATAAATTTCACACTAAAATTTACCTAGCAAAAGGTTGCAAAATATTGAAACTGAATTTTTTTTCTGTTTATATACACTAAAATCTACCAAAAAAGTGATGGGCCATTAGTTTTAGCTGATCTTCCCTCTTATGACACACCCTATTATGATATTCCACCTCTTCTCCATCCTTTCTCTCCTCACCATCCCTTCTTTCTCTCTCTTCCTCCCTCCTACTCTTCACCCCTCCTCTCCCTCTCTTCCTCCCTCCATCTCCCCATGCCTCCCCTCCCTCCTTCCCTTGCAGTAGGTATAAAGAAGCCCTGCTGTAGAATGTGACTTTTCGTCTTCACGAGAACTATGTCCGGTGGTCATCTCTTTAGCAGACAATTAGGAAACTTTAACCCTCTGAGTTTAGTTGAGTGGCTTTGTTTGTCCTGCCAACACTTACACATCCATTTAAAGGCATCTATTGAGCATTTCAAGTACCTCTTGCTTGAATGTATCCTACAGTGTATGAAGGATTTTCGTCATAACACGGATCACGATTAAACTAATTCCAGACATCATAGAATGTTTTGTTTCAAGTTATCGCTCAAGTGATGAGGTCCTTAGCAGTAGCATGGTTCATATAACGCCATCTCAAGGCGTCATAGGATGTTAATACCGGATAGGTTCATAAGATACTTATATGAAACTTCAAAGGATCTATTTCGAAAAGGTACTCTACAACTCAAAAGGACCTTAGGAATCTCAAAGACTCATATCCAACCCATCTTAGAGTACACAGGACCTCTCACTTCATGATATATTTCAACTACCCTAAATTTCCCAACAACACAACAATCCTGGAACAAAACACATCCTCCTGGACACACCATCAACACCTCAGTACAGCACTCAGGTCTTCCCCCTAAATTTACCACCATAGTCACCTTCTGGAGTCTTGAGGGGTGAAGAGTGGTCCTCCTTCTTCGGGTGCTAAATGCAGGAAGTGTTTGTCTCTGCAATACTCCCTTACAATATTGACATAGATATTGATGCTTGGTCCTAATAGTTCCTATTTGTAGTTTTTTAAGGAGAGGAAGATTTGTGCTTGTCATGAGGTTTATACTCGACCAGCTTATATACATAGTACACTAATACACATCAGTAATACTCATCAGCACACTCACCGTAAAAGTTGTCGATGTACACAGAGAGGAGGATCACCAACAGGCAGGAGGAACCGATGAGGAGTGGGGTGTTGGAGCGGTGGAGAAGGCCGGGGGCGGAGTTGTGTTCCTCGCTACCATCACCCTGACCATTGTGCAGGGCCGCGTGCTTCTCTCCTGTGTGTACACCGCGAGCATCAGTGTTGAGAATGAGGGAGGGAGAGGCTTCTTACCTAACCTAACCTAACCTAACCTAACCTAACATAATGTAATCTAGTCTAATTTATCCGAACATAATTTATCCTAACCTGGATTAATTTAGCCTAATCTATACTAACCTAACCTTTTCTCTAAATTACCCCAATAACCTAAACTTTCGGAACTTAATGTAATTAATGTAATTTATTAACGTGTCTCATACTAGGTAACACCACACAGAAAAATATGCTGGTCTACTGTCTTCAGTTGTGAGATCCCAAGCCTGGGAATATATTGGAAGCATAATGTGTTGTCTACGGTAGACCCTGCTGCCACATGGCATCACGAAAATTGTGACCAAGTCCCATGTTGCTGATCTGACTTTCTGCCTCATTTACACACAATTGCAGGGTCTCAATTGTTTCTCTTACTATTGACAACACAACATACATATATTGTTCCACACTTTTGATTTTTTTTCATTTTGTATTTCTATATTTTTATTATTACTATTATTATTATTATTATTATTATTATTATTATTATTATTATTATTATTATTATTATTATTATTATTATTATTATTATTATTATTATTATTATTATTATTATTATTATTATTATTTATTATTATTTATTATTTATTATTTATTTATTATTATTATTATTATTATCATTATTAGTATTATTATTATTATTATTATTATTATTATTATTATTATTATTATTATTATTATTATTATTATTATTATTATTATTACAACAACATTTTCGCCCCCCAGGCCCCGATGTGGGTCAGTGACCTGTGCCTGGGTGGGCTAATTCCCGTAAAAAAAAACTCAGCTGATCGCCCAGGAAGAGCACCACACGCTCCCTCACAACGCGTCACTCACCTCCTCGGGGCCTTGAAACAGCTGGGAACAGCGCAAAACACATTCCTGGGACGGGAGAGCAAACCGGAGGTGTACACCTACTCCTCATCCGCCAAGCTGGGAGCAGCGAAAAGACTCCTCACTCATCTTCTACACAGTTTCCACAACTGTCAAGACATCTATCCAGGTTAAGTTGTTTATACACTAATTGTACTCATTGTTAGTTGACGAGTGAAGTGTTCAGTTCACGATTTACCTGAGAATTATTTTATAGTTTATAGTTAAGGTAATTTTTACAATTTACAGACATATGTTATATATTACGTGTAACTAACGCTCTCTCTCTATGCCCCATAGCTATAATTTACGACGTAGATCGTCTAGTGCTCCTATTACCTCAGTGTTTAAAAGGTTTAGGAACGTGATTAGAAGAGCCAGTTTTAACATGTCTCGTCCTAACACCCCTCCACCCACCCAGGTGGTAAACCACACATACACAAGTCTCGACCTTAAGTACCCATATTTTTCAGGGAAATTAAGCGAGATTGAGGTTTGGCTTCCCAACAGTGTAGAATTTGCTAGGTCTAAGTGTTCAATTACGCACCCAACTGGCCTTCAGATTATTAACTGTACCCATAATTTGATTGATCACACGGATCCTCAATCTGAAGAGAGGTACGTTGCAGAATATGGAGAGATGAGTAACGATCTCTAACTGGGCTGAATTTAAGAAAGCTGGGAGATCAGTGTGTTCGAATGGACGCCAGACAGATTTTTTTTCAACGTTGCATGATTATTTTACAATGGAACGGAACTTTGGTGAAAAACCCTCACAGGTTTTAGTGCGTGTTGATCGCGCAAGGCAAAACTTACATAACTTACTTAATGGGAATTACCCTGGTATGAGTGCTGAGTCCATTGTCAAGTTTTTTACAATTTAGTATCATTTAACGTAGTGTTCCTACACAGGTCAGGCGTAAGGTGTCTGAAGCTATTACAACTCCTGATATTACATTAATGGAGTTTCAGGAATTTATTAATCATAAGGGAGGTTTTTCTGAGGAACGTTTTGGTTTATGCAGTAACAAGTAAACCTAAGAACAGGAATGAGCCATCCACAAGTACCCACAAACCAATACCTAAGAAAAATGGACCAGTAGTATGTCACTTTTGTGGAGTCCCTGGTCACATTAAACCAAAATGTCCAAGTATTAATTTTCACCATACTGTTTCAGCGGCTCCTGGCGGGCGTGCTCTTGCTACGGGTTATCAGCCTATTACACCTTATACACAGGGTACGGGTTCACAACCTCAGTCACAGCCTAGGAAGAGTCAGTCAGCTCCGGCACCAGGGAACAAGTACTGTTGCATCCATAAAGTCCGGACACACGACACACTTGAGTGCAGAAAGTTTCAACAGTTCCTACAGTCACAGGTGACACCTAACACAAATGTTCCTCCACAATGGGAAACACTTCAGTTTGCCTCCTCCAGTAACCACTTAAACAATGATACTATCTCAGTTTCCAGTACCTGTGATCCACAAGTGTTGTCTTTGTCACAGATCTTTAACACCTTTCTCCAGGCGCGAGGGAGAACAGGACCCATTGTGTGGGGTTAAGTGGATCAGACTAACATTTCAGTCATTTTAGACACAGGTGTTGAAGTTAATGTCATAGATTCTAGTGTTTTAAGTACTTTAGTTACGGATTCCTATTCTTGTACAGACGAGCAACTACCTCGTATTACAGGTATAGACGGCCCAGGCGTTAACGTTACAGGTGCAATCCAGCTTAAGTTTAAATTGGGGAATACACACATACTGTAGATTGTTTGCCCTATGTTGTGCACGGAATTTCCATTCCAGAGAATTTGTTAATCGGCTTCCCGACGATGAAAGCCCACCGTGTAGTAAGAGTCCCTCATGACAATTTAATTACTGTCATCCAAGAAATCGTTAGTTTAGCAGCGTATGTACAGTATGTCAAACTCCCAGTACCAAACGGAATTACAGATTAGCAGACGCGTCGTCTGAAGTTTACGAGGTTTCTGTCGCAACTAGTTTATATAGATAGATTGTCTCACACGGAAATGACCAATCAGGTGAAGTCTTCAATTCAGCGGTGGGGGCTTGCTCACAAACTAACACTTATTACTTTTCTGGCGTGTGCCCAGGGAAACTAGCACAAGATGTACAGTCGGAAACCATAATCTCTAGCCCACCTGGGTCGGTGCTGGAGGTTAGTACAGTGTCCTTTCTGGACGGGGGCCCACTCTAACTATCACGAGGCAACACATGCACGAACACACACAGTCATAGTACGGCTGTACAGATGACATTATGTATAAGCATTGTATCTGGCATTTTATACTCTGCATTATCTTCATTGTATATGATCACGAAGAAAAATTACCATAGGTTGTAGTTACGAAATTATGAATGGAAATAAACACCTCCAAACCACCCAGTGAATCCACACAACATTTAAAGCATTTGTGTGTGTGTGTGCCAGACCACGATGCTTCCACCACACCCCATGTAATATATCTTTTATTTTCCCTTCATTTGCATAACTATATATAAAAAATCTTGTTTAATTTAACTACATATTTCAAAAACCTTAAATTACATGTGGATCAGTCACTCCTCATTTGACACACTTATAGTGTAATACTTTGACCATCCCACCTGGGCACATGGAGACCCACGGTAACTGTCACGGGGCAACATAAGCTTATGTATGAACCCTATTCACTATCATTATCATGTTATGTTCATCGTTCTATCTGCAATACCGTAAAAAATCTCATTTAACCATTGGACGTGAGGGAAAGCACCACACACTGGAGTTACGAAATGAAGAACCAAAGGACATAGGAATGACCGACATGACGTCGTGTGTAGGGAGGCCTGCCGTATCAGTGTGGACACGGTTGCTCAAAGGGTAAGTCGTATAATTCATCCTTGTATTTGTTGAGAAGAGTTAAACGCGATTTTATACGGTTTGCAATAAAATGCAATATTACAGTATAATAATATAGATTTTCCACCATGTATTGATACTATGACTAGTTACCAATATACAGAGCACGATGAACATAACATGATAATGATAGTGAAGCCTGGAAGGGTTCATATCATAACTTGTGTGTTCGTGCGTATGTTGCCCCGTGACAGTTACCGTGGGCATCCATGTGCCCAGGTGGGATGGTCAAAGTATTACACTATACGTGTGTCAAATGAGGAGTGACTGATCCACATGTAATTTAAGGTTTTTGAAATGTGTAGTTAAATTAAGCACGATTTTTCATATAGTTACGCGAATGATGGGAAAATAAAAGATATAGATGGGGAGTGGTGGAAGCATCGTGGTCTGGCACACACAGACACAAGCGCTGTAAACGTTGTGTGGATTCACTGGGTGGTTTGGAAGTGTTTATTTCCATTCATACTTTCGTAACTACAACCTATGGTAATTTTTCTTTGTGTTAATATATAATGGCAGATAATGCAGAGTGTAAAATGCCATATACAATATTTATAAATAATATCATCTATACAGCCGTACTATGACTGTGTGTGTTTGCGCGTGTGTTGCCTCGTGATAGTTAGAGTGGGCTCCCGTCCAGAAAGGGCGCTGTACTAACCTCCAGCACCGACCCAGGTGGGCTAGAGATTATGGTTTCGGAGTGTACATCCGTATCCTGATCCGTTAACTGCAGCTTCCTTCAAGTTAGATACTAACTGGTTAGAACAACGGAGTCTCGATCATACTAATCCTAGATTTAAGATTTACTGTCTCGCCGAGCTATCCACAGTGAAGGCAACAGGGATCAACATAGACTGTTTGCTACACCAGAGTTATGATGGAAAGGTGAAACTGTACCTGACCAGTAGACTCCCTTTCCATCAACGTACCAGTTGTGGTACGAAGGTTGTTGCATTCTCTGTTTTAAAGGGATCCATTGAGGACGAAGAACTCAATGATTTTTAAGTCTGTGTAACTAACACAGTGCCTAACGTACTTACAACATAATGTGATATTGAACAATCTTCTAACCTCAGAACAACAAATGCCCCTTCATTAATTAACGCTAGCCACATTC